GATTTGGGTTTGCACTGTTTCCATCTTATTCAACCATTCTGAATATTCCGGAGTCAGGCTAGGGCAAGACATAAAGATTCGGTTCCCTTTATTCATAAACTGGAGGTTTATGTCTTCTTTCGTCTGAGAATGCTGTTGATTAGCAGGAGTTGTATCCTCAGGTTCATCTATGGGCTTCTTTGCACAACCTATAGGTTTGAGCCTAGGGTGAGTTGGGAAGAAAGCGTTGTTCTTGTTAGGTTTTTCGATACATGCAGACAATGGACCAGACATGGCATACATTTGCCCAGAATATCTAACAGGAATGAGTACCTCTGAGTTGTAGGCATCACGCCATTCTTTAGTCATGGGTTCCGGAATGAACCTTCGTTCCCCAGTTGAGGCAGGGATAGATCTAGTTGCGAAAAATTATGGTTGTTGTTGTGAATCAGAGGCATCTTTGGTTTTGGGGTTGTTTGGAACTTTTGAGAGGAAAGCCATGGCTATGTTGGTAGAAGAACAATGAAATAGATGAAGTTCTTAAAGGTTTCTTTTGAATACAGGGAAACAAGGAATTTCAGGCGTTTGTAAAAAATTCCAAAGAGAAGTACTCGTAGCTATTTATAGTGGCCAGGGAAGAGTGTTTTTCCTCAAAACCATTTAATGATGCAGAGTGAGTGGGACAAGTGGTGAGCTTTAAGACAGTTATACGGATAGGTAGTGGAGACGTTTGCCATGCTTTCCTAGGTTATATGGATAATGGCCATCATGGCAGCGTGTAACGGCTGACTGATAGTGACGTCTTGGAAAAGTGTAATGATGACTCTGATACCAGTAATGGTTGGTGGAAGATGAAAAGTGTACGATAAGCTTTTATGGTCAAAAAGCTTACAAGTGTCGAATAGATACATCAAAGAATGACTACTTCTCCTTGCGTCGAAATTGACATTCTTGGGGGGAAATTTGTTAGTTCCTAAATTGGACACCCATATATATTGGCCTTGTTGGCTAAAAATAGATTGAAGAAATCTAAATTAAAGACACTTCGACAGAAGAGCTTGTAACAAAAAGGTTGTGTCAAAGTCTCCCATGCTAAGAAGAAGAAAACACTTAGAGAATTTTATAAGTTAAAGTTGGTCTTCGACCAAGAGGTTCTTGTGATCTTCGACCGAGAGGTTCCCATGGCCTTCGACTTAAAGGTTCTTGTATCAGCAAGCGAATGATTTTGAATCTGAAGAAAGGAGGGAAAGGCGGTTTACTTAGCAGTTAAGGAAACCAACGTGGCATGAAGATAGAAGTCGAAGCACATGCAGAGGATATTTGTCCTCATCCTGGAACGAGGCAACTGTTCGACGGTTACTTAGTTTTAGTATAAATATAAGAAGTTTGTGTAATTTTCCGGGTGTTTAACATATTGTACAAGTCACTCAAATATATCAAAGTACCCACTGTGAGAGAAAAGATATTGAGAATGTACGTTTGAAACACCATCTTTTATTTCAATCAAAATCTTTACAATTCCTTTACATTCCTTTTCATTTACATTTCTTTGCAAACTTTATCATTACTGCAAATTTACTCTATCTTGCCCTTTACTTGCACGTTTTATCATTTTTTAACCTTTATCCTTAAACTCTTCTCAACCCCTTTCTACTTACTTTTTACTTGCACTTTTATCAAGTTTTCACCTGCATCTTGCCTTTACTCTTAATTCCCCTCTCAACCCTTTTCACTTAAACTTACTAAACTTACAAAATAACTTAGCATATGTCCTAGGATCAATCTGATCGATCCTGTAAGTCACCAAAATAACCCTTTTTGGAAGATCAACGGTTGTTTACCAATTTTCATGGTAAACACCATCATTGAAGGTGAAAACTATAATCTCTCACATCACTACGATATATAACTATACTCCGTCAATACCAAAAGGCGTGGTTAGCAAAAACCAAGGTGGTGTAAAAGGTATATGGAAACTGGGAGGATTCATACAAAGAACTTCCCCGCTACCTGCATGCACTTCAGACTTATTCTTCGGGTACTGTTTATATTATGGAAACACTGCCGGCGTACGCCTTATATGGTAATCATGTCACCGGAAATGGAATATTCAGTCGAGTGTTCCGGGCTTTTCAACCTTGCATCACAGGGTTTGCATCATGCAAGCCTATTATTTAAATTGATGGGACTTGGTTGTATGGGAAATACAAAGGCACGCTACTGATGACAGTTGCACAAGATGGCAACAACAACATTTTACCAATTGCCTTTACTCTAGTTGAGGGAGAGACTGGTGGTGCTTGGAGTTTCTTTCTCAAGAATCTCCGAACACACGTGGCTCCTCAACCATATCTTTGTTTGATCTCCAATAGACATGCATCTATTGAGAGTGCATACATCAATCCTGCAAATAGTTGGCATGACCCTCCTTCTACGCATGTCTATTGCATTAGACATATCGTATAAAATTTCACGAGGGAGATCAAAGACAAGGCTCTTGTGAAAGCGGTTATGAACGCGGGGTATGCATTAACACAACCTACGTTCAAACACTATCACAACGAGATCAGATTGTCAAATTCAGACGCAGGTAGGTGGATCGATAATATTCCGATGGAGAAATGAACTAGGTCATACGACAATGGACAACGATGGGGTCACACAACAACAAATCTTATTGAATCCATGAACGGTGTATTCAAAGGCATAAGAAACCTTCAAGTAACTGCTTTGGTTAAATCAACATATTTTAGGATGGCTTCGTTGTTTGCCAAAAGAGGTGAAATATGGAATACTGTCTTGCAATCGGGACAACTATGGAGTGAAAGCTGCATGGAGTATATTAAAGAAGAAAGTGCCAAAGCCAACACCCATCTGGTTATATGGTTCGACCGACACAGCCACAACTTTATTATCAAAGAGACAATCGATCATAACGAGGGGCTGCCAAGACAAGAGTATAGGGTTATACTATAATCTCGTTGGTGCGATTGTGGCAAGTTTCAAGCCTTTCGTATGTCTTACTCTCATGTCATTGTGGCATGTGCGTATACTCATCAAGACACATTACAACTTCTATCTCCCATTTACAAGTCTGAAACCTTGCTCAACATATACAACACCAGCTTTCTATTGGTAGCAAAACCTGATTATTGGCCTGCATACGACGGTGAAATAGTATGGCACAATGACCAAATGCGAAAGAATAAAAAGATTCGTCCCAAAATCAAAAGTATCACAACTGAAATGGACTCCCTTGACAAGCTAGAAAGAAAGTGTGATTTATGTCGTCAGGTCGGATACAATCGCAAAAATTGTCCGACTCGAGCTACTAGCTCAACAACATAAAAATTGTATGCAAACCATCTTTACTTTTTTAAGTTCTAAATATTATGGTTTTTTATTAAGAGCATTTGTTACAACAAACCTTACGCAAACAACAAATAAAAACACGATAAAACTTCTAAGAAATTACAACCGTCAAAACAATTTCATCTGACCCATGTATCATCAACATTACGTCTCCGTCTGTTTTGACTTCCTCGAACCAAAAATTAGGTTCCTCATCCTCGAGTCTCCCTCTAGCCATCGCATCAACTCTCTCTTCAGACGCTTCATGGAGTGAATGTGCCAAAATTTCATTTTCATCGGAAGTTTGGTGGCCGAGAAAATAATATAACCATCTCTGGTGAAAATCATGGGAGATGTCATGACGCAAATAACAGAGAAAAAATAAGAAGACAGTGCGAGAAAGTGTGAAGAATGATGGAGAAACGGGAGATTTATTTATAGAAAATAGCATTTTGCCCTAGACGCCAAGTGAGATGGCGCTTCCTCTCACATTTAAAGTGCATGCGCCATCTCACTTCACTAAAAGTGAGAGCATGCGCCAAGTGAGATGGCGCCTAGGACAAAAGGGCAAGTATAGGCGCCAATTGGGTTGGCTCTTCCTTTGCGGGGTTTTCTGAAACATGATTATTTGCGTAATTTTCTCTGAAACATGAGTATTTACGGGGAAAAATTTCAAAACCTAATTATTACAACAACAAAAATTCGTATTCTTCCGCTCACACTCTTTTAACTATTTTTAATTATATTATTTTTATAGTTCAAAAGCATATTATACACCAAAATTTACAAAGAACACCGTATGGGTATCAAAATTTTAGGTGTACAATTATCTTATCTTGTTTTTTATATCCTTTCTTTGTTTGGCACAAAAGGGAAAGAAGAATATATCATGCAGGGATTCACACCATAACACCATGCATATAAGGATATGAATGTCATTTAATAAATTAGTTAATTTTTTAATTTCACATTTTCTCTTTTTTTTCTCTCTTTCATTTTCACTTCTACGGAACAACTCAAAAATCACATGGATTTTCTATTCATTTTCTCTCCCTCTTAACTTCATTTTTTCCTTCTCCTTTCTTTTCAAATTCAAACCATATAGATTCATTTGATATTATATTATGTGTTTAATAAACACATGATAAAAAAACATAATATCGTATAATTGCTGGTATGTAAATGACTCTACTTCAAGGATAGAGAAGCCTCTTAAGAAAAAGATACAAAGAAAAGACTAGTTTCTCATTTCATGATTCTTGAATCAGTAAATACAAACTTATTATATATGAATATTCTCTAATAGAATGAGTAACTTGAAATAACAAAATGCTAACAAACTTATCATCTAATAGATGAGTCCCCACATCACTCCAACTATTGAGTTTTTCTATATTTTTATTTTTATGCTTCCATGATCATAACATTGCGTATCCCATTAAAACTAACCTTGTCCTTAAGGATAATCCTCTTGGAGAACATCTTACTAAAACATTGTTACAACTTACATCTTTCAAATTGCAAAGGTTACAAACAGAAACCTACTTATAACACATTATGCATGCTGTTACATTCACACTGCACTAGTCCAGGGTAGAAAGGATGAGATCAAGTCCACAATTTATTCTACTACACTCACTTTACAATTATTGAGTTGTTGTAACTTGTGACTAATTTACCAATTCATGTTTAGCCTTCTCCAATGCTGTCATGGCTTCAACTTGCTTTCTGTCTCTCTTCGCAATTTGTTTCCTTGCTGCTTCTGCTTGTCGAACTTTATCTTTTATGGTTACGTCGACCTCTAACATTCTTCTTTTTAAATCGTCAAGCTGAGTCTCTACCTTCAGTGTCTCCAACTCGCAAATTTTCAACTCGTTTCGTTTTTCAAGGACCGTGGCCTCGAGATGAGCAATATCTTCAGAAAGCAGATTTCTCTTTTGATTGGATTCCCCGAGCAAAGTCTCGGTTTTCATATAGTCATCCTTGATGTTAGCCAGTCTTGCTTTCTCCTCCTCCAAGAATTTACTGTGCTGCTCCAATGCAGGCGAGTTTTTCATGGACTCGTCAATTTCTGCCATTGTCGTTGCGAGGTTGATGCAGTTCCATACATAGTCAGAGAATTGTTTACACTCAAATCCTAAAAGGTTTAACATAGAAAAAATGGCTTCCGCTGTCTCTCTCATAGACTCGTGCTGATGAAAATCCAAATCCTCCAGATCATTGAGAAGTCGCTGTTGTCTAAATAACGCGACTTCTCTTTGTCTTCGTGCTTTTACCTGGCTGTCACTTCCCTGTGATCTGTTGGGGCTTACTACATCTGTCGAAAGTTGGGTACATTGATTAGGAGTCTTGATAGCGAGGTCGTTGCATTCACTTTGGCTATTAAGAGTACTTGTTTGTTTAGGAACTTCTATAGGATGGAGCGATGGAGAAATACCTGTAATGATGGGATACACAGAAACAATATGATAATGCAAAATTGAAATAGTCGGGACATAAACAAATGAGATTAAGGAAATCATACTAACAGCAGAAGAACGGTTTAGGTTGAGGGGATTTCAAACTTTGAGTTGGATGAAAGAAAATAAGGCGACCTAACCAACACATTGGATAAGAATCTACAATAAGATCAAGATAATTTCCACATATGAAGATAGTACCTAATGATGCATCAGCAGCCAAAGTGTCGTTCTGGAATAAGCTCTGTCGACAACTAATTCCTGAGGCTTCAGCCTCAACTGCCGCCCACGAGGCTAAGTTTATTGATTCTAGATCATCTTCAAATTCAATTTTCGGAAAACCGACATCTTGTAAACTGACCTCCTCTATAGATGATCCTCTACTTTTTCCTTCTAGAATCTCAGATCCAGTCACAGGCGAAGGATTCTCAGAGCTATCCGTTATTCTCATCCTTTTGGTGGTTAATAGCAAATCACTACCATCAGCCAAATCATTAGCCAGGTCGTCGTTAACAGGTGTATCGGTTTGGCCTCCCGTGAAAAATCCATTGAGAGATCTTTGTTTGCTCTGTCGGATAGGAACAACGCTCGGGTTATTGACAAGTTCGTCAATGCTTGCAGTACTGAGTACTTCGTCTTCCCACACACGGTAACCACAAGATCCATGACTCTGTTTGACATCAATAACATCAAAGTTTTCTTAGTTTTCTTATCACAATTATGGTTGTATTGTATCAGCAGCATCATCTTAAACACAATTTATGAAGCACAGACACCGGAAACATGCACCGACACGGACACTTATAATAATTTGAATAGAATAAATTAAACATAATCACAAATGTTGTGTCGGTTTCTGACACAGCCTCTGACACAGACCTGTCTTTTTTCAGAGGTGTCGGTGCTATGTAGACCACAATTCTCGGCAATAAACCCCATCAAAATAACCCCCATTTGGTGCTAAACAAACATCAAATGTTTCACAACGCATAGAATCATATAAATTAGAAAATTAGAAAACAAACATAACAAAACATAACATGATATTATAGTACCTGTTTAATGGGACAAGCAAAATAGGATTTAACCCTACGAGAACCCTCTTCTGTTTCCATCACTTTTCTACAAACTCCAGCTCCACAGTCACACTCAGGATACTTAATCAAAGGAGGTTGCAAATCACTCTCATTGATAGGATCATCACACCACTTAACAAAAGTACTACAACATGCACCCTAAAAAACCAAAAAAAAAAAAAACGTAAAAAAACATGGGACCAATCATTAAAAATCAGAACATGAAGAGATAGTAAGATACCCTTTTGATGGGACATGTAAAGTAGTCTCTGTCATAGTTTTTATCACTATGAGAGGTTTTAACTTCACAAAAACCGTGACCGCAACGACAGTATATCTGTTGGGAAGGAGAAACCTGTGAACGGAAATGAGGTTTACTTTTGGAGGATTTGAGGGGACAAACGGAAGCCCAGTGACCTGGTTGGTGACATTTGAAGCAGTTATTATTAAGAGGGTTTGAATTAGGAGAGTAACGAGAGGATTTTTCAGGGGTAGTGGGATGAAATTGAAAACGGGTTGAAGTGGAACGAAGAGTGGTGATTTGTTGCGGTGGTTCGCACATTTCTCTTTTTCGTTTTGGACTGTTCTGTTGAAGAGATGGAGGTGGTGAAGGAGGAGGAAGGGTGGTGGTGGAGAGAGACGTTGGTTTTGATGTTGAGGGTTGGGTGATCATTGTTTGAAGAAGTAGAATAATACATAAAAGGACAAAAAAGTAACGGTTGTGTTTCTTGTAATGCTACCTCGACCTTTGCGATTGAGTTAGATTCTCTCTTTTATGAGACTCACGAAAAGTTGTAGTAAGGACTAAATTCCTGCAGTGCCCCCAAAAGTTATTTTCCTAAAGATCAGTTTGAAAAAAATTATTTGTCCTATCTTTCCAAATTTTTTTCTAATACGATATTAAAGCGAAAGAATGAAGGTTCTCTTTTGAAGAGATACCCACATCCTTTTTTTATTTTTTATTTTCTAATAATTAAATTAATTATTTTTATTAATTATTTTATTAATATAATACAAAAATTATAATTTACATTTAAAATTTTGTATCAATTGTTTTTTTTGTTTAAAAGAAATTGTATTCTACTATTTTTTTTAAATAATTTAAAATTAATTAAAAATTGAGAAAATGAATAATAATTAAAAGACTTAAATAGTTCATTCGTCCATGCAAGGTGGTGTATTATTTATTTTCATGTATCTCTTTTTGTTTTTTGGAAAAAGTCTTTAAATATTGGTATTCATTTGGTTTTAGCCTCTAATGTCAACTTTTCATTGCAAAAATGATTACATGGTAAATGTTTTTGCTGACTTGGCCTAGGAGGACGTAATTAAAAAAAACTTCAAATTCATCTCCAACCTTTAACCTCCATTTTTCTCATCTCCAACCTCCAGCCTCCATTTTTTCATTTCCAACCTCCATTTTTCTTCATCTCTAACCTCTATTTTCTTTATTTTCAACTTCCATTTTTTCTTCATCTCCAACTTTCAACCTCCATTTTTTCATCTCCAACCTCTATCTCCTACAATCTTCATCTTCGACCTCCAACCTCAATCACTGACCTTCATCTTCAACCTTTATCTCCTCCAACACTCATCTTCAAACTTCAACCTTCATCTTCAACCTCCAATCTATATCTCTGACCTCCATCTTCAACCTTTATCTCCTCCAACATTTATCTTCAACCTTTATCTCCAACCTTTATCTTTAACCTCCAACCTCTATCTCGGACCTCCATCTTCAACATCTATCTCTGACCTCTAACCTCTATCTCCAACCTTCATCTTCAACCTCCAACCTTTATCACTGACCTCCATCTTCAACATTTATCTCTGACCTCTACCCTTTATCTTCAACCTTCATCTTCAACCTCTAACCTCTATCTCTGACCTCCATCTTCAACCTTTATCTCCTCTAACATCCATTTTCAACCTTCAACCTCTATCTTCAACCTTCATCTTCAACCTCTATCTTCAACCTCTATATTCAACCTCTTTCTTATGATCATGTAAAGAACTAATATATTTGCAATGAATGTAGCAATAACATATAAGTTTGCTTTTCTCGTTCTATTATAGTTTGTGATTTTTTTATTTGTCCATTCTTACTTGGAACAATACTTTCATGGAGTGCTTTAGCCATAATTGATTAGTTTTCTTCCCAATTTGAACATTATAAATCTTTAGTTTGTGTTGGATAGAATTCTGCAACTTTGTTATGATACATAATATTAAAGACATAGTAATTCAAATATAATGTAATTAAGTGTATGTATCCAATTAAGCTTAAATAGTTAACTTGTCTCTGTAAGTTGGCAAGTTTTTATTTTTCGTCCATCTATCTTTTTTCGTCCCTCTATATCCATCATCCGACTGTCTTGTTTTTTCGTCCATGTATCTTTTTTCGCCTGTTTATCTTGTTTATTTTGAAGAAGGAAACATCATGGCCATTGTTGAAAATGTGTTTCAATGTGTAGAAAAATGTTTGAGATGAAGGTTGGAGATGAAAAAATGGTTGGAGATGGAGGTTGGAGGTTGGAAGATGAAGGTTGAAGATGAAAAAAGGAAGGTTGGCGATGGAAAAATGGTTGGAGATGGAGGTTGGAGGTTGGAGATGGAAGTTGGAGGTTGGAGATGAAGAAAAATGGAGTTTGGAGTTTTGAGATAAAGAAAAAATAGAGGTTGGAAATGGAAAAATGGAGGATGAAGGTTTAAGATAAAGAAAAAATAGAGGTTGGAAATGGAAAAATGGAGGTTGGAGGTTGGAGATGATGAAAAAATAAAGGTCGGAGATGAAAAATGAAGGTAAGAGATGATAAAAAATGGAGGTTGCAGGTTGGAGATGAAAAATGAAGGTAAGAGATGATTAAAAAAAATGGAGGTTGCAGGTTGGAGATGAGAACAAATGAAGGTTGGAGGCCAGAGATGGATTGAGAAAGAAGAAGATGAATTTGTAAAATTATTTTTTAGATTTTGTCCTCCTTAGCCCACATTTTACGAGTTATTACATACCTTAATTTTTCTTTGTCAATTAGTTAAATTGCTTTTTAATTGTTGCTTTAGTTCATTTTAGTTGTTTTTATAGTAATCTGCTTGGAGCATAATATGTGCTCCCTTTTGTTGTTTTGATGTGTTTTGTGCTTGATTTAAAGTTAACTATGTCGAGCTGAGGCAAGACTGTAGTGGGCAGTATCTGAGAGCACAAACTAATGTAGTAAGCTGAACTCAGCTAAGGGATAAAAATGGAAGAGTCATCTTGGTTTCTAGGGAAGACATGGAAGGATTAATGCATTCAAGGGAATCTTTGCCTTGCATAGAAGAAAATTCATTTGAATCAAGTGGATAATGCTAAGAGGCGCTAGAAAACAAAAGAAGGTACAATAGTATATCCCCCACTTTGCGCAGTCTACATGGATTGTATAGCGCCATATGCACCTTATTGTGGCAGCCTACCACAAGACGCTTTGTCTCTGACAAATGTTCCCTCATACCTGAGTTCTTGTTTGCTAAGTAGAAGAAATAATGTGATGGCGTTGACTCATGGATGGGATTGGTTTGATTTCCTCATTTTGGGCCTATGATCCAAGACATCACAAGGAAACCTAGTGAATGCCTATAAATAGGACCTTGTTGAGATTGAAAAGGAGTTTAACATTTCCAAGAGAAAATACTAAAGAGAATAGTCTGAGGATAGTGAAGAGAAAAAAGTTTCTTCTTCTCACTATTTCATGTTGTTGTACCCCAAAATTTGCCCTCGCATTTTACCACAAAAAAATCTCAGCTTCAGGCATTTCCTGACTTCTCAAACTGGCTCAAGAATCGGACAAACGGACTTTTCTCGTCAGTCAAACAAAAATTAGGGTTTTATTGATTTTTCAGGGCTCTGGATTTTTTCACACAGCTGGCTTAGGGTTTTGGTTGATTCTGGCTCAATTTTGATCAGGCGAATGCTCTTTGGCATTTAATCAGGAATTAGGATTTGTGCGCGCATTCTCAGAAGGATTTAAATTCCACAGCACTTTGCAAGTTATTCCAAGATTCGGGTTGAATTCGCTTTGTTTTGATTTAATCAGTAAAAGAAGGCAGTTGGTTTGAATTCACCAGTCAAAAGATATACGCAGTTTGGAATTACAGTGTTTGTTAAAAATCAGTGAAAAGAGGGAATGCGTCTGATCAATTGTTGTGATTAACTGTTATTTCGCTTTGAACATTGGAAGCATCAAGTTTAATTAATGGATCAGTACTGAAATATTGTTTAGTTAATTATTTATTATTCTAAAGATTAAATGAGTTGGAATTTATTTTCAATTTATTTTAATTTTAAGAACTATAAATAATAAATAAACAATTAAAGAAGAGAAGAATTAATTAAATGAAAAGGTTTTTTTTTATTTATCTTTAAGTCATTTGTATAATTGTTTTTGTTTACAAAATATTGACAAAAATAATATTACATTTATTTAAAGCTAAATAAAAGATTATCCTAATTATTTTTCTAATCTTCAAATCTTCATCCGCTACCCCTTGCTCCGGTGCTCCATTTTTTTCATCTGCAAAAGAAAAGAGAAAAGTCAAATAACAGTTAAGTTGAACTGAAAAGACAGATAAAATTGCAGTCATCATTAAAGGCCACTGATTGGGATCAGTTAACCCTCTCTGCAAATCACGGGATTTCTCCCGGTTCACAAAGAGGGAAGAATTTTATTTGATCATGAATGCAAAGTTGAGGAAAAATGCAAAGTGCCAAACTACATAAATTCAAAAATCTCAAGCAAACTGCACAGTTCAAACCCAACTGGAAAAAAAATCCAATTTGCAACTTTATGTCAAAATGCAAAGTGTCAAACTTGCTGTCAAATGCCAAAAGGTACAAGTTATTGCACAAAGCTGTCAAAGAAGAGATAAAATATGCAGAGGAAATCTTTTATGCAAGTCAAACTTTCTTTCATCATTTCCCAACGAGTAGCCTTTTCAGAAAGTACACAAGAAAAACATTTTAATATTCTTTGAAGTGTACCAAAGAGAGAGAAAGAAAAGAGGAGAAGTGTGGGCTTACTGTTTGGCTTTAGGCATAAGGAAAATATAGAAAGTAAAACTGCAATAAGACAGTAAGGCAAAAGGCTAAAAGAAGCATTATATCAGTGCTACCCAAATTAGACAGAAACATACAGCAGAAATAATCACCAAAACAGAAAAATGCCAAAAACCTTGCAAGTCTGCCCAGTAACTTGACCCAAGAAAAGATGCCAAAGTTTGAGATATTCAAAAAAGGTCTTAGGCGCCAAGAGACCAAGAGGCTGGAAGACAAAAGAAACAAATATAAAAAAATTGCAACAGCAGGGATAACAAAAAAGAGGATAGGGACTAACTGCATAAACTCTCCAACCTAAAAGACCACTGTTATAACCATAACAAAGGCCTCAGAAAACCTGATTGAGCCATAATACCAATATCACGAGAAAAACACATAACCTGCAATGGCCTAATAAACTATTACCTACTGTCAAATAATACCTGCATTAGCCTTATCACCAAAAAGCCTCAAAGCATTCCAGGCCAACAATAACCAAGCCTTACCTGCTAAGACCCTCAAACCTGCTTAAACCATCAAAACCTCATAACCTGTCAACAAGTTCAAAGACCAGCTCAAAAACGCCCAAAGCCCTAAACCTGCCT